GCCCCTATGATTCCCCCATGGACCGATTATAGAACGCCGTAGGACAAATCACGAAGCAAGAATCACGAACGCGATAAAAGCCACGCCCTCCGTTGGGAGAGGAGGAAATCAGAGCGCCCACGGGGACGCCAGAATGCCCAGCTCTGACTGGAAGGATTAATGGACACGCGGAGAGCAAGTTCGTCTGCTTCCTGCACAGGGGTTGCGACGATGTCAGAACGCCGAGCTCTTATTGGCTGAATGAAAACAAAAGAATGGGTAGACCTCGAGGCATCCAGCCATTGCGGTCTACCAAAGCCAATCAGAGCTCAGCGTCGTTCTGACATCACCGCAAACCCCGCGCAAGACGCAGACGACTTGCTCGCCGCATAGGCGCGGAGCTACGACTGCCCTTTGTCTATAGAACTCAATCTTCGAACGCGTTTGAACAGGCGAAGATTTGTTGCCACAGGACGCGGTCCTTCGAGGATGCGTAAAAATCACAACTAGCACTGCACCTTGTAACAAAAAAAGAAATATCGTAAATGAACGTTGGGGCACAAGGGTCGTTTGAGCTAAAGAGAAAAGAGAATATATCATAACGGGCTCCTGACTAATCAAGAGTGGTAAAGGTAAAGTCACATTCACCAGTATGCTTGCTTTTCACCGTGGCCATCTTAAATATAGCTGACCTGCCCTTTTTAAAAAAGATAAGCGAGTTCATCATCCTGGAGAACGCCAAACAAACAAATGACGGCGGACCAGACAAAGGTCCCCAGCGAATGACGAAGTTCACAATACGAACAAAAGGACACACAAATGCATATGTTGAGTAAACTCGGACTACTTTCAGAGGGCAATGCTTAATTCCAGGGTCTCATTAAATAAGGTTTAAGTTGGTGTGTTAAACAAAATAAAAAAAAAAACATTGGTTGTTACACATGATTCTAAACCTGAGACGAATGAACGACAAAGGGATAAACATAACCCCTTTTTGTCCGCTCGTCTCCTGTTTAGATTCACGTGTAACGTTAACCAGCTCGCCTGTTTAATAACTTCGCCTTCTAACTTGATTGTAGTTTATTTGCATGGTCTCCAATACCTAGGGATGTCACAGTTATTTTCTTTCGAGTAATACGGGGATTTAGCAGGAACACTTTTTTTCAGAAAAGCACCAAAATACGTCCGATCCCTTCCTTCTCCCTTCTAAATATAGAGTTGCAAAAGGCGGGTATCCAAATCATGATGTTCAAGCTCAACTTCTATCGGTTTCAATATATAGCGTGAAGCAATGGGACCGATGGCTGTTTGAAGAACCCTCATAAATCGGTTTGTGAACGTAGTGAGATTAAATTTTGTACATAGGTGACCGAAGAGGTTGCATAAAATTTCACTGAACAAACTTAGCTGGGTAAAAAGTTAGAAATGAAAAACTTGAAATCCCTACCTGCGAGGCCCGTCTGCTAACGAAGGGCGGTCTAATTGGCGCAACGGCAGACAGATGGCGGCACCTAAGATCGCAGGCGGCCACCCCGACGGGCGCTTCCCTAGACCGCGGCAGTAGCAGACGACGCTTCTAAGCCAAAAACGATTAGCTCTTTTTTTTTTTTTTTTTTTGTACAAATTGTTAGACTCAGTATACATGATTGCTTTATTCTAGCAGTAAAACATAGAAAATGAAGATAAAACTAGAATAACAAAAAAAAAGTGTTGTCTTCTTTTTTTTTTTTTTTTTTTACTGTATTTTTGTTAAATGTCTTTGTGTTCTTTGCAATCCCTGGTTGTTATCGTGTATCTTTTTTTGCTCGCAACTTTCATCAGTGCTGTTTTGAGGTGTCAGTCAACTCCGTGGTGCGCTTAGCACCCAACGACAGCGTGAAGGTACGGGGAGTGCCAGAAGACGAAAAGAGGTTCAACGACGCTTCCGAGCGAAGTTTCGGCGGTGACCTCCTGGCTCTCATACAATTCTACGCTGGGTGGGGCTTGCATCAACGAAGAGGAAAACCTCCAAAACAAGCCACGGTCAACAGTGGTGTCATCGCAGAAACTGACGATGAAAAGCGCGGTACTCGGTGCCTTCATCCGACACCCACTTGTCGACTGTTGCGCCATTCAGACGACATGGTTAGCACACAGTTACCGTAAATAACAATTTTTAGTGTTTTTTTTTTCATTCTTAACTTTTATTTAGCTATGTTTGTCAAGTGAATTTTTTGTACCCTCAAACGGGCGATGCAAAGATTTATGTACTTTTGCGCAAATATCGCTTGGAACGAATTTCTGATGTTAATGACCTATGAAACACGCGTGCGTTTTGAACCACACGCAATAAAAGTTGAAGAAAAAAACTAAAGAAAAACGAGCAGCGTTCACCCGCTCAACTCACAGCCAGAACAAGTGGCCATGATCTGGAGCCGATTATATACCGACAATGTTGATCTTAGCCAGGCGCTGGGGTGGCAAGACACAGGACACGCGTTGAGTTGCAGACATTGTTATCGTTCGGCTATGGTCGTTATTGCAGCAACTGGACACGGGCCACTACCCAAATTATTGTTGAGCTATCGATTTTCACTACCCAAATCTAGTGCTCACGCAATGATCGGGTCTAATCAATGAGACGCATTCAAGTATCGTCACTGGGGAGTACTGCGACCCCCCAGCTACGTCATCAAGTTTTGCGAAAGAGAGATTAAAAGAAAACGCTCGTTTTTTTACTCGAAATTACGCCTTAACAAAAAATGTTTCTTGGCCAGTGGCGTAGCGCGGTCCCACTAATGCCAGTAAGCTCGAATGAAGTGAAAAATATTCCATTGGAATATCGTTGCACCGCCCCTTTAAAGCAAGTTCTTCGGCCACTTCTGTGCAAAATCTTTGCTCGATACTTCCAGTAACCAATTTATACGGTCCTTTCAAAGTTCAAACAGCCATCGATCCCTTTGCTTCCCAGTGTAGATATCGACACAGCAAAACATACGATCATGCTTGCTTCTCGTGTCCTAAGAATTCAAAGAATTCCGTCAAAACTGTTCACTTTATGCAGACCGCGAAGCTAGCTAATTATTCCGAGCAATAAAAGGAACCAGGCAAATGATGACGCTCAGACGTGTACATGTAGATATGTGATGTGCGCAGGGTATTATGCTCTGACCTTCGTCGTCGCCGAGATCCTTCCGTTGTTCGCAGTGCATGATTGGCTGTCACCGTGTTCTACAACAATGTAAACAAAGTATTTTTTTAGAGTTGGCGCTTATAGGGCACTAAGATACGCATCAAAAATCGAAGCCCATCAATACGCTCCTGAGGTAAAATGCGAGAAAGGGCCGATGTCGTGTTCACACTAAATCGCTCGCTCGGTGTACGTCAAAGCAGCTCCTTTTCAACGGAAACACCAGAATCCTTCCCATTGTCTGATTCTTTCTTAAGCTTTTTTTTTTATTATTATTCTTTTCCTTGTTTTTTAATGTCACGATCAAGTAACCGCTCGGCTTCATAGTACACTTACGCAAACGTCGAATTTGACCACGGTCGTTTGGTCGCCTTTACTACGAGTTAAAACCTCCTTTAAAACTGCGCCCCTACAAATATGGCGCCTCACCGACCATTAGTATCTAAAACGCTTTATACGTTCCACGTTCATACCAGAAGGGTCAGAACTATTGAAAAACTGATTGCAGTCATGCAAAAAAAAAAAATAACTTACAACGCGCTAGGGATTGAAAAGCAATACACGACTGCAAGATGGCATCTGGTCGCCGCCGTATTTCCGCTCCCGCGAAGAGGCTTTCGTAAGCCTGCCAAAGTTACTTTCATCCGCACGTTGCGCGTACCTGCACGCGTGCACAGGAACCAGCCTGGATACCATGCTTATAATTGCGTATAGAGTAATTTCGGTTTACTTTTGAAACAAAACAAACCCCAGTTCATTCTCAATGAAGAATTTTTTTTTTTTTTTTTTCTATTTTGTGTATCAGCGGAAGAACGTGATGGATTGCACGGCTGACGGTAAAACGGCGGCTCCGACTTGGAGCACATGAGTGGGCGCGTAGCAGCAGTTGAACTCATCGTCCCTGTTAAAAATCGTCTACTTCCTGCCTAAAAGAAAAGGAAAATAACTCGATCGAGAACATGTTGAAAACTGAGCTAACTTTTGCCCTTCGAGGTTAAAAAAGCTAGGGTTTCATGAGCTCTTATCTCGTGTACCGGCGTTTAACCGTGTACTCCCTTCATTTTTATTTATCTTCAACTGAGGTACAGACTCCCCGAGGTGAGTCATTATTGTGAGCCGAAGTGAGTCGTCACAATTGTTACGTAGTCCTCTTAAGCTGTCAGTTATTATAGACTCGTCCAAACTCCACAGGCGTCACTTCATATCCGCAATTCTTCCTTCGCTAGTTTGGACTCATGGTTCTTCGTCTGTGCGAGCTCTGGCGCGAACTAACTCTCGTTACCTTAAGTTTACCTGATATAAAACTTAAACTAATGCGAATGTTCACGATGCAAAGTGTTGTCGCTCCCTGTTCAACATGCTGCGCAGACGCCCCACTGAACGCGACTTAGCAAACGCGCCGCCATTACACCGTTCTGACAGGCACGTAGACACCGTGACCACTTCAGCACGGCAAACGCGCTCGCCAGCTTACTATTCCTACCGGAAACGCTCTTCAGGAGCATCCAGAGTCATCGCACCACGAAGTCAAGCGGATCTCTTGTTTATAAACATAGCTCCCGTCGGTGAAAAGCTGGCTCCTCGCGTCGCTGTTTGATTGCAAGTGGTAAGCGCAACACACCGAAGTCGCCTTCCAGACGACCGGCGTAAAACTGGCAGCAGCTGCTGCCGAGATCAGGCCCCACTGTTAGCCGTAATATGTGGAAACACACGACTTTCCTGGTAACATACATCTTCGACCAAACACTATGGGGTCCCTCTGAGCCGTGCACGACCGCGATCTAAACACGCGCCATCTTCCTCTTCACTTTTTTTTGTTCTCTTTAGAGCACGTATATCTCCGCCACCCTACCTGTATGATTCGGAAGAAGTCCGTGGCCGTCGTTTCGCCGTCTGTAACCCACGGGGCAGTAGTTCGATCAGGTGGAGTCCTCGGGCAACACTGGAGGCGTGCGGAGCGGGGAGCCGCGGGCCGCGCAACGGGTCTCTCGAAATAAAAACAGGCGTGAATTCTTTAGAAGGTTTATTTCTGGCGACCCGCGCCCGAGGCCAGCGTGAGTCAAACGCGCGCCCGCTGCCTGTTGACGTGCGAGCGGGAACTCTGTGGCTGCGCGCTGTGGCTGCGCTGTGGAACGCTGTGCTGAGGTCGCTGCTGCTGCTGCTGCTGCTGCTGCTCCAGCCCGCGAGCTCAGGAAAAAAATAAAAACAGCGCTCGCACGTTGGCGCCGGTGAGCTGCAGTTGCGCCGCCGCCACAGTCTCCAGCAGCAGCCACAGTTGTATATACAAAGGCCAAGGACGGCGTAGAAAACACGTCATTTCTGGCGCTTGGCTTTTCGAAATTTGAAATTGCGCCCCCGTGACGATCGTGCCTGCCAAAGAAGGCGTTCGTCTTAAGCCACGGTCACGCCGTTGATACGTCATCCAAAACAAAAAAACAAAAAAGGCAGTCCTTAGAGGCATTGTCTGAGGCATATGCCTTACTTGTATGATATGGTCACATCGATCATATGAAACTGTCTATGTTCGAAGCATGTTTGAAGCAATGTCATGCTTCTGAGATGCTTGAGGCCTGTCAGCGAATCCCGGACAAAAGCTCACCGGTCAAAAGCTCACCGGACAGAAGCTCACCGGACAAAAGCTCACCGGACAAAAGCTCACCCATTTTTTCACAGACCCGGACAAAAGCTCAACAGGAGAAAATTTCATGCTGGTCTTAACACGTGTGCGGACAACTTAGGTGCATGCGTACGACACTAAAATACAACGATAACTTAAATTAAAGAAAACCCATGCATTCGTAATGAAGATACATTGTGCCTAATCTTTATGTGCGTGTTTAGCGTGACATAAGCGCAATGAAAAAGCGAGGTCAAGAAAGGGTGACTTCGTTTCTTCGGTCACTCTTCGGGTTCAAAAACTTCGGTTCACGAAGTTTCTTGGGCGTGGCACACGGGTGCTCCGACATACCTTGAGTCAAGCAAGCTTGATCTTATCAGCTCCATTCAGTTTCAGTAACCCAAATGTTGGTCCCAAATCGTTGCTTCTCAGCCTGTAATGGCTTATCGTCGACACCTCTGCATGGGATGGGATGCCAGTTCTCATAAAAATGGTGGAATGTCCATCGCGTCCGTACTTTATCCCAGCCCGTGTTTTACCCGGGGTAGCAAAAAAAAAATGAAGTGAGCTTTTGTCCGGGTCAATGAAAAAACGGGTGAGCTTTTGTCCGGTGAGCTTTTGTCCGGTGAGCTTCTGTCCGGTGAGCTTTTGTCCGGCAAGCTTTTGTCCGGTAAGCTTTTGTCCGGTTACCCCTGTCAACAGGTACTTATGTAATCATGTTTGCAGCGTAACACTCTATTTTTTTGTACGACGTATTGAGTAGTATTTGACCGAGGCTTTAGAGTAACCCACCGCGGCGTCTTAGTGCGAACGGTCGCAGATCTTTGTTGATGACAAGCTGTTGTATATCCTGCGGCGAAACGGGGGCCGTATTTACGCGATAAATCGAAAGGAAAGGTTGGTATCTCAAACCAACGAAAGCGATATGTAGGACAGTAGCCAAGCGGAATGTTCAGAATTCGTTTTTGGAAGAGCGGGAGGATTCATCTTTATCCCGTAACCCATATCTGAGCGGCACGCGGCGTCTCTTCATACGCCCGCGTTCAGCCGCGACCACCGTCAATTGGGATTTAATATAGTACCTAAACAAAGACCAACGTCGTGCGTAAACATTTCTACGACAAAGTTTAATTGGCGCGTTATATTATCATATTATAGTCGGGGTGATTCCAGCGAGATTCGCAAAAGGCGTTCTGCAAAGTAATCATCCGGTTTGTTACTAGTAAAAGTGGCCGTTATACGGAAGTGTAGATAGTCGCTTCGATACGCGTGCATGCTTGACTTAATATAATCTAGGTGCGCTTTCCTTCTTTTGTTTTGAAAGGCTGTCCTGTTCGCTACTTTTTTTTTTGTATTATTTTTTTCTAAGTTCTAGTTGTGTAGCATGTAGCACATCTTTTCTTTTTATCGGACCGTTTTCAATTATATATTTTATCGATAAACTTATCAGGGTATATCAGTTCATGATGCCTGGTGGGATAGGTTGCCGGCTAAACAAAAGGCGTTGCATTCGCCTATTTTCAATTAGCAAAGCCAACGCTTCCGTTCGGAACCGACCATGTGTGATTCGACGGTAATGTACAAAAAAAAAAAGTACCTCCTTAATACGTGCTGCCACTGATGTGTGTCCTTATCCCACAGTACCCGACGCAAGTAATCTCGAGTAAACATTGTCAAATAAATTACGCCAACGCGTTTTCATTTCCAGAACCGGCTCCACCAAGCTCCGACGTCGAGATACACTATCGCGCAATCCCCGAAGTTGCGGAGCTGTTCCGCTCCCCCATCCATACCGAGTCAGACAGGGTCTAGAATGTTGTGCTTCAGCGGTCAGATACCACGTGAAGAGCGGTATCTTGAAAGTGATGGGCGGGTATGTCAGCACATAAGACGAGTCTTGTTTTTTCTCGCAAAAATGTCACACTACCAGAGCATACTGAAATCTCCGACTGCTTAAGAGATACAGAGCCGGGCCTACTACGTTCACGCGCTATATGCTCGGTGATTCGTTCTTCGGCGTCCTAATCGGCGAATGACGCAATATCGTTAGCTGTGGAGCGATAATTAGATGCATGTAACTCTCTACGCTCTGAAGGTTCCTCGTTTGTCAGTGACCATAACGTACGCATGTACATTACATCGCAAGAAGACATTACAGATGCATGTAATGTCTTTCGTTTCTCGTACGTCCTGTCTCCGCGAGTTTGGATAAGCGCCACTAAAGATACTTCCGGCCTTGCGAGGAAGCTGGCACACGAGCGCTCTTGACGTGTTGAAGCGAACTTTTGACAGAGTGGCACATCGATCGCTCCGTTTGCCTGGCGAATGTTTTTACATCGGAGCTGTTAAGGGCTAGTTTCCCCAGTATCGTGTCCGCCAGCAAGCAAATGATGGCACAAAACTATGGACAGCTACCGCCATCTATGAGCGACGGCGGTAACTAGATAACCGGCTTGCCGGTTTTCTGGTTGCCGCCGTCACTCATAGATGGCGGCAACCTTTCCAACTTCTCCACTCTAACTTATCGACATGCGGCCGGCCATTACTTCATTTCCACCATAGTACAGCTTCGCTGGTCTTCCTTCTTCACCAAAGTGAAAAGGTTGAAAGTTTTTTTCTTCGTCAATGAATACCACACAAGAAGGGGCAGGAGTCTATGTCCAACGACTGAGGCTGCTACTGAAATTCCTTCAACCGACCGACACGAGAACGCCTTCTACGAGACAGACTTTTGTTAGCCGTGACCTTAGTAAATGTACTACTCACGTGTTCCTTCGAAGCGCTGGCGTGAAGAAACCTTTGCAACCTCCGTACGACGGTCTGTACCTAATACTGCGTCTAGACAACGACCAATTGACGCTGATAATCAACGGCCGTAAAAAGGTATAGTCTCTTTAAACAGATGCAAGCCGGGTCACGTGGTACCTTCATGTCCGGACTCGCAAGCCTTCGAAAACCATCTGGTGTCAGGTTCAAGACGAACACCAGCCTGAGCACGCACTCTTTCAAAATACCGCTTCAACACGTCAAGAGCGCTCGTCAGTCAGCTTCCTCGCTAGGCGGGGAGCACCTGCATACTCCGTTTGCCCTTAAAGGGGCGATGCAACGATTTTTGTACTTTGCGCGAGCACCGCTTAGAACGAATACCTGACGTTTATAACCAATGGAACGCGTTCGTTTTCCTCCACGCTAAATAAACGTCGCAAAACAAAAAAGATAAAGAAAAGCGAGCAACGTTTACCCCTCAACTCGCAGCCAGAGCAAGCGGCCACGTAATCTGAAGCCGATTATATGCAACACCACCTAGACAGAAGGCCCCTACACGCGTCATCACAATCAGATCGATCGAGGCTTGAGATTGGGCCCGAGTGCTGTGTCAGGTGTTCGACTGGGGCATGAGTCCAATCAGCGCGTCTAAGGTCGGGCTCGGGCCCAATAGCCGTGTTAGCGCGATCCGACTCTGATGATGTTTCATAGAGGGATAGGGGACCATGCGGAGGCCTTCTGTCTATAGGTGCTGTTGTGTCTACCCACCGTCCTTTCAATCGAAGCCAATCTGAGCTCGGCGTTCTGACGTCACCGCAACCCCTGCTCCAGAAGCGGACGGACTGGCGCTCCGCATAGTCGAGTGTCGAACCTAATTTGTATCGGTTCGGTTTCGGTTCGGGTTCACCGGTTGAAACTGCCAAATTGAGAATATATTTTTAGCGTTCCTTTGGCAATAGGCACTATTTCAACAGTGAAACGAGTAACTATATAGCTTTTTATCATTCGTAGAATGCAACTTTATTTTCAGGTACCAAATATAAATTGCATTATTTAATTTCAATGAAACAGTAAATGAAGAGCTGGATTAACATATATAACTCGATATCTATTTTTTTTTACCTCAGTCGTAAATATTTTACCTGAATCTAGAAGTTATCAGTCTGGTGAGTCGCCTTAAATACCCGTTATTGGGACAACTTTGAGTCTCAGTATTAAAAGTCGAATCCTGCTGTGCTCTTGAACTTAGAAATTAATTACAGCGCATACAATAATGAAATGGGCACCGCCCTCGCCATATCCTGAAATATCTTTTATAAAATATGTTTCACAGTACATATGATGACGACGTTACTGAGCTAAAAGCAATAATATCTTCAAAATGTCAGGAAAGTTTAAGGACAAACCCTTCCAGTCTACCCTTTATAGAGACACCGAGCGGCAAGCACAACGCTTGCTTTCCTGACCAATATTGTTTACACTCAGCACCGTGATGTAGGCGAATAATCATGCGGAAAAGAATTACCTTCGTACTCAGATCGGGTCTGGCCTAAAATAACGCGTACCGAAGTGAACATTTTCGACATAGCTTGGCGTTTTAGATTTTTTTTTT